CTGCCCTCACGCGCTCAGATGGATTGAAAGTCGGGAAAGGGGGGTATTACCCGCCCCGCCCCGCTGGAGCCGACTGCGCATGCGCGGTGGGTGGGGTGATTCAGGCCAAGCGCAATGCTGCAGGCCCAGCTCTGGGAGGCCATTGAGCAGGAGCAGCACCGGGTGTTTTTAAACAAGGGCCCAGGAATCAGGGAAGGGAGTGTGTCTACACCAGGGGTCCTCAAAAGAGAGGGCCAGGTCGCAGTCCCTCAAACTGTCGGAGGGCCGGATTATAATTTGGAAAAAAAAAAGAATAAATTCCTATGCACCCTGCACATATCATATTTGTAGTGCAAAACCCACTTAAAAACAATACAGTAATTAAAATGAAGAGCATGGGTTGTTGTAGGTTTTTCCGGGCTATGTGGCCATGTTCTGGAGGCAATTTTTCTCCTGACGTTTCACCTGCATCTATGGCAAGCATCCTCAGAGGTAATGAGGTCTGTTGGAACTAGGAAAAATGGGTTTATATATCTGTGGAATGACCAGGGTGAGACAAAGGACTTTTGTTTGCTGGGGCTAGCTGTGAATGTTTCAGCTGATCACCTTGATTTGCATTCAATGGCTTGGAAGCGCCTGGGGGGAATCTTTTGTTGAGAGTGATTTCATGTGCCTGTTTGTTTCCCCTCTGTTGTTTTTCTGCTGGGGAAACAAACAGGCACATGAAATCACTCTCAACAAAAGATTCCCCCCAGGCGCTTCCAAGCCATTGAATGCAAATCAAGGTGATCAGCTGAAACATTCACAGCTAGCCCCAGCAAACAAAAGTCCTTTGTCTCACCCTGGTCATTCCACAGATATATAAACCCATTTTTCCTAGTTCCAACAGACCTCATTACCTCTGAGGATGCTTGCCATAGATGCAGGCGAAACGTCAGGAGAAAAATTGCCTCCAGAACATGGCCATATAGCCCGGAAAAACCTACAACAACCCATGGATTCCGGCCACCTGAAAGCCTTCGACAATAAAATGAAGAACAATTTTAACAAATATAAATTTATTAGTATTTCAATGGGGAGTATGGGCCTGTTTTTGGCTGATGAGATAGGATTGTTGTTGTTGTTGCGTGCTTTTGAGTCATTACAGACTTAGGTATAACCCTGAGCGAGGGCCGGGTAAATGACCTTGGAGGGCCACATCCAGCCCCCAGGCCTTAGTTTGAGGACCCCTGGTCTACACCAAGCATGGGCAAGCTACAGGCCATCTAGTTCCAACAGGCCTCATTACCTCTGAGGATGCTTGCCATAGATGCAGGCGAAACGTCAGGAGAGAATGCCTCTAGAACATGGCCATATAGCCCGAAAAAACCTACAACAACCCAGTGATTCCGTCCATGAAAGCCTTCGACAATACAACACCTGAAGCATTTTTATAGAGTCCACTGTAAACACTGCAAGTTGTTGCTAACATATTCGTGCAAACATCTAGGTGGCGTTCAGAAACCTTTTACAGTTGCCAAATTTTTTGCGACCCCAACATTGAGCTAAGAGGAACTCATTTGGGGCCAGAACCCACAGTTTAAGAAACAGTGTATGAGAATACCCTGCATGGCTGCCTTTATGTTCTGACTCTAGAAACCAGTGCTTCCCAAAGTGGGCAATATTGCCACCTGGGTGGTGCTGGAACAATCCTGGAGTGTGATAATTGGGGGACGTTCAATAAAAAAATAAGGGGGCATTGGAAACATAAAGAAGAGAAGTTATAAAACCTATTCAGACATGTTTCATCTGTTTTGTAACAAAGTTAAAGCCATTGTGACTATTTTCCAAATAGAACACACACAATGCAAGTTAGAGTTCACACCCACTGATAGGTCTTCATAAGTGTTGGGAGGCACGTGTGTCACATATTCTCTGGAATCCCAGCATGCATTGGCAGGAATATGTGCATGTAAAGACATGTTTACAATATAATATAAGAAATTGGCAACATATATGAAATCTAAAATCTCATCCCATTAGGAACATACGGTGGGGACAATAGTCTGCTTACCGTAATATTTTGTTTCTTTCTTTTTGGGGGGGGGGGGGAATATAATTCTGCTGCCATCAAATGTAATGTATTCCGTTCATTTCTATATAAATACTCTATACTTTCTGAGCTATCACATGGGGAAGTGTATTCTCGGCCTATTTTTTTTCTTTTTTATTAAAAAAAGCAAACAAGGGGAAACCTTGGGAATAGTAGAAGCCTAAAATCTAGGTCTAAAAAATAGGGGGAAGTATAGCTGCAGTGAACTGGCAATATATCAAAATTGTGCAATTCCTGAATAATAAATTATTTAAAAATTCACTATAAAAGATTTATGCAAGAAGATAAATGGTGAGAAAAGGAGCATCAAGGCCCATTTTGAGACCACCCACAGGAACAACCACTATTTAACGTTACTATAATGATCTAAAATGGAGAAATCTGACAGTTCCCATCCCACATTAAAGTAAGCCCCTTTAATCGTTTCTGCGTGAATCAGGAGTTCTGAAGACCATTGCTCCAAGTTCCAAAAGTTTCTACACAGTTTAAACACATTTTAAGACAGAGTATCACAAGCAACTGGCAGAAGTAGTTTTGTGTCATATGATTGACTCCATGGGACTCAATCTTTAAAATGTGTAGAAACTGGAGGAGGGGAATCCTGCACCTGCTGAGGTCCTTAATTTAGATTTTTTTTTAATGGTGTGCCAAGCAGTTAGCAACAGTGCAAGTGTAATGAGTATTTAAAAGTATTAATTTATGCTGCTGACAAAAATAGAGCTGCACATTAATTTATTAATGGCAGCACACCAAGTTCATTGTTCTCATTTAGAATTATTTTCAATGCTATTAATCATTTTTATTTTATCCTTTGTTATCTTAGCGTTCTGTATATAATGTAAATGTTGCTATGGTTGATTTTAAAAAATAATGTTGCAATTTCAAACTTCAAGGTTACAACATCTTTCTTTACCATATTGTAGGATGTAGATAGAAATATAGAAATACATGAATGTGAATTTGTCACTGCATCTTTGTTCGCGTAAAAATTGTAGATTTTCGGGGGGAGGGGGGACTCTTCAAGTTTTTTTTTTCTAATAAAGCGGCTATAAGCCGAATACATTTGTGAATCTCTACTCTAGATGGACAGCAGAGAGCCCTGAAACACCTTTATAATTAATACATCCACTATGCATTAGCTTTCAATAGCCTTTTTCATCAGATGAACTGTTCATTTAGATACAAGATAACTTGTACAGTTCTGATAGCTATTCAGACTTCCCGCTCCCTCTCCTGATAGGCTGAAAAAAGGCAGGGTAGGATCTGTGCTGGGATTGGCTGGGAAGGAGAATGGCAGTGAGGGATTGGTTAGAGTGAAGGACAAATCAGCTGCAGAGATGCAGTCTGGGAGGAAACAATGGCACAGATATGCTGATGAGCTTTTGATTTTGCTCAGATGTCCAGTTCTGTGCCAAACAAAGTTGTGGAGGCCAGGAAACAAAGGTGCAAGACTCAAGGGACAAAGGTGCTGATCTTAGGATCAAAGACTTGGCTGTCAGTAAAAGAGTTTATGAATGCACATACTCCCTAAGCCCCTGTTTTTGCAAGGGACCAGCACACTCTCAGCCTCAGGTGAATTGCACAAGCATGTGGCTGGGAAAGGAGATCTTTGCATATGCACAATGAGTCTGCTGGTGAAATAGCCAAAGGGATTTACTCTCTTTTCCATTCCCATGAGATTATCTGATCAGGGTCATAGAGGGGTGACTGTCTCTGGGTTACATTCTGACACGTTAAGAAGCAATTCACATATACTTCATGCAAGAAATAGATACAGTACACAGTTTAAAATATACAAACTACACAAAAATCAAATTGATACAATCTATTAAAGGGTTGGATGCCATATAGTTCATGGGGTGCAGCTGCTGGGTTTATTCCTGATCTTAAAGCTTCAAACTTGCTCAATTTGAGATCCCTGGGAAAGATGTTTTTAAGATGTTACTTTGTGTGATGTGTTTAATAATGTTTAATGTTTTATCAAGGGAGGGTCAATTTTGATGTTTTATACTTTTTTTAATCTATGGCATTGAATTGTTGCCAACACTATGAACCACCCAGAATCCCCTTTGGGGTTGAGAAGGGTGGTATATAAATACCACAGATAAATAAATAAATAATATATTTATTTGTGGTCTCTTTACTACTTCATCGCACTAGAGAATGAATCCATTTTAAATCCGGTTTCTGCCTCCTGCAGAATTCTGGGGTTTGTAGTTGAGTGAGGCTGTTAAAGGCTCCTCCCTAAACTGCAAACCCCAGAATTCTGCAGGAGGCAGAAACAGGATTTAAAGTGGATTCATTCTCTAGTGTGATGAGGTAGTTCGTGAGCTATAAATCATTGGGGGTGGGGGGTTACTATGGCTTGATAACATCCCTTTGAACATTATTCTGCAGACAAAGTTCTGCCTCTGCAGCCACAAATGCTTCCTACTACACCTTTTGCAGCATTGAACTCAACACACTGGAAGAACCAGCTGTGACACATCATTCCTGTGTACAAAATTGTCCTGCATATGCATTCCTGTATTGTGTTTTCATCATAATGTTCTGGGTATTGCCATGATTGGGAAATAGTAAATTAACTTGGGATGGCAGACAACTTTCATATTGGACGGCATCAATGTTAAGAGGCCTGAATATTGTGCATCTGACTGAAGGCTTTTCTATCTGATATCCTGTACTTAATTTGAAATTTTGTCTTGTACAATCTTATGAGTAGTTGCTTAAAAGTTAAGTCTGTTAAGCACAGTGGAATTTGCTTTCTGAATCACTTAAAGGCCTGTTTAAGTTTAGACACTACTGCACAACACTTCATACTTACTCAGATGTAAGTCCCACTATGCTCAGTAGGATTTAGTAAAGGAGGTAAAGGTTTTCCCCTGGCATTAAGTCCAGTTGTGTCTGAGTGTGGGGGTTGGTGCCCATCTCAATTTTTAAGCCGAAGAGCCGGCATTGCTCATAGACACTTCCAAGGTCATGTAGCTGGCATGACTACATGGAGTGCCATTAATTTCCTGCCAGAACGGAACCTATTGATCTACTCACATTTGCATGTTTTCAAATTGCTAGGCTGGCAGAAGCTGGGGATAACAACGGGAGCTCATGCTGGTCCCCGGATTTGAACCTGCGATTTTCATTTAGCAAGTTCAGCAGCTCAGTGGTTTAACCCACTCTGCCACAGTAGGATTTATTCCCAGGTAAATGCAGTGATTGGAACAGAATATTAGGCATTTGTTTTTTACTATGGGTGCATCTACATTGTAGAATCAATGCAGTTTGATATCACTCTTAACTACTATGGCTCAATGCTCTGGGATCATGGGAAATATAATTATCCAAGGTCTGTAGTCTTCTCTGCCACAGAGTGCTGGTGCCTTACCAAAGCCTTACCTTGATCAGTGACTGATGCTGGATGAGAAACTCCCTCCTGGGCAACTAGAAGACTGGGCGAGTTGGACAGTGCTGAACAGACTGCGATCTGGTACCATGAGATGCAGAACCAGTCTTAAGAAATGGAGCTTCAAAGTGGAGTTCACACATGTGAGTGTGGAGAAGAGCAAATCACAGACCACTTATTAAAATGCAGCCCTGCCACATGGAAAAATTGAACTTCAGAGAGATAGGGCAGAATATAAAATTATTATTATTATTATTATTATTATTATTATTATTATTATTGCGACACCGGAAACACTCAAAGTGGCCAGTTTCAAAGGAAACTGATATAACGCCAAGTGTTTTTTTTAAAGTTGTGGTTTTTAACTATGTTTGTGTTTTTTTCATTTTGTTTGTGATTTTTTTACACATTATAACTGTATCCTCAATTCACTTCTATCACGATAAATAAATAACCAAAACACAACTTCCAGGCTTCAATTGAATAATAATAATAATAATAATAATAATAATAATAATACTTTATTTATACCCCGCCACCATCTTCCCAAGGGACTCAGAGCGGCTTACATGAGGCCAAGCCCAACAACACATCAATAAAAACAAAAAGCAATAAACAAAACAATAAATACAATACAATTAATATAAACCACATATAAGCAATAACCAATAAACAGTAACATACAAGAATTTAAAAACCTATGGCCGGGCCAAATGTAATAGTTTAAAATTTAAAAAATAAACGCAGGCATGAACAAGGTAGGATATATCTGGTATAGGGTTTTTAAAGAAATGAGGGAGCGCAGTCCATTCTAAACCAATAGTAAAGTAAACCAAAAGGTCATGAGTTTGAAGCCAGCCTGGGTTGGAGTGGGTTTCCAACCAATTGTGTGTAGCCTGTTGTCGACCTTTGCAACCCGAAAGACAGTTGCATCTGTCAAGTAGGAAAATTAGGTACCATCTTAAAAGTGTGGGGAGGCTAAATTAACTGATTTATGAGGCCTTAAAGAAGACTCCAGCAAAGCATTCCAGCGGGGAAGCATGTGGGGAATGTGGAAGTGCTTCATCAGCGTCGCAGATGGACAATGAAAGCGACAGCTCCCCTGGCAGCCAGAAAAAGTTAAATAGCCTCTGTGTATGTTTGTATGTCAAAAATTGGCATTGAATATTTGCCATATATGTGTACACTGTAATCCGCCCTGAATCCCCTGCGGGGTGAGAAGGGCGGAATATAAAAGCTGTAAGTAAGTAAATAAATAATAAATGGTGGTTGAAGTTATGCATTTATTCTATAGCAGGCATGGGCAAACTTCAGCCCTCCAGGTGTTTGGGATTCAACAGCCAGTAGGCTATTAGGAATTGTGGGAGTTGAAGTCCAAACACCTGGAGGGCCGAAGTTTGCCCATGCCATGCCTGTTCTATAGTGTGGATGTGGAATGCACCCTGCCTTTCCCATTGCAAGTAGGCGAGGGCTTCTCTGCAGAATGGGCTGCGGTCGGTAGGTGGCGCTCTTCCTTTCAAAAGCATCTTCTTTCAATCATGGTGTGAGCCCGCCCCTCGCGCTACGTGATTGGTCCGTGTTCTTTGTTTGCTCTTTGCAGGAGGAGAGGGCGAAGGAAGCAAAATGGCGGCGCCCTTACAGGCTGTGAGGAGACTTTTGCGGTCGTCGGGAGGCCTGAACCCGAGTGAGTTTCTTGGGCCGAATGGGGTTGCTTAGAGGATAGGGGCTCCTCATCTACAAGAAACCCGCTTCTTGTCCTCGTCGCTGAGTAAAAGCATGGCTTCTCCTCTGTGTGTCACCTTCAGCATCAGTGCCTTTCTAGGCGAAGCATCAGAGGGCGCATCTACACTGCAGAATTAATGCAGTTTGACACCACTTTAACTGCCAGGACTCAATAATATGGAATCCTGGGAGTTCTAAATATACAAGGACTTTAGCCTTCTCTACCAAAGAGCGCTGGTGCCTCACAAAACTACAAATCCCAGGATTCCATAACTTTGCGCCATGTTTCACCTTGTCTCCTGTGCTATGTTAATAATATAATGTAACATAATACATTGTATGTACATATAATATTTATAATATTATAATGTGATGCAATATAATACTAATAATAATATATTATTAGAATTATATATTTATATTACATTAATATTACTTTTTTTTTGTCGTGTCAGGAGTGATTGCAAGTCGCTCCTGGTGTGAGAGAATTGGCCATCTGCAAAGACGTTGCCCAGGGGATGCCTGGATGATTTGATGTTTTTATCATCCTTATGGGAGGCTTCTCTCATGTCCCCTCATGAGGAGCTGGAGCTGATAGAGGGAGCTCATCCGCCTCTCCTCGAATTCGAACCTGCGACCTGTCAGTCTTCAGTCCTGCCGGCACAGGGGTTTAACCCACTGCGCCACCGGGGGCGTCTCAATATTACTAATAATATTACAATAAAATGGTATAGTACAATATAGTAATAATACTGATATTGTACTATGCTAATAATGTAATATATTGTATTACAAGATTGTATATATCTTGTAAGCTGCTCTGAGTCTCCTTCGGGGTGAGAAGGGCAGCATATAAATGTTGTAAATAAATATAATATCCGTGTTGGGATGAATTAATGGAGGCGAGGGATGCGCTTCTACAGAAGAATGTGACATCCAGATTAAGTGGCAGGGAGTTGATCAAATGTTTGTTGTTAATATTTGCTCTCTTGGTTTCAATTCCTTTTGGAAGCTGAATGGGGTTTTTACTTTCAGCTTCCAAAAGGTCTAGAATAGATTAAAGGGAAGTCATGATGCCTTTGTATTCTGCTTTGGTTAGGCCTCACCTGGAATACTGTGTCCAGTTCTGGGCATCACAATTTAAAAGAGTTATTGACAAGGTGGAAAGTGTCCAGAGGGGGGCAACTAAAATGATCAAAGGTCTGGAGAACAAGCCCTATGAGGCGCATCTTAAAGAACTCGGTATGTTTAGCCTGCAGAAGCGAAGGTTGAGAGAAGACATGATAGCCATGTATAAATTTGTGAAAGGGTATCATAAGGAAGAGGGAGCAGGCTTGTTTTCTGCTGCCCTTGAAACTAGGACTGGGAGCAATCGGTTCAAATGACAGGAAAGGAGATTCCACCTGAACATTAGGAAAAACTTCCTGACCATACAAGCTCTTCAACATTGGAACTCCCTGCCTTGGAGTGTGGTGGAAGCTCCTTAGAAACTTTTAAACAGAGGCTGGATGCCATCTGTCAGTGATACCTTGATTGTGCTTTTCCTGCATGGCAGGGAGTTGGACTAGATGGCCTATGTGGTCTCTTCCAACTCTATATTCTATGATTCTACTCTGTGAGAGAACAGATAGGACTTGTGTACAGTATTTTGCAGATTTTGTTCCTGACATATTTGTGTTTTTAGTATAAATTGTAACATAAATTGAGCATTCCTTACCAGAAGTACCACAAAATCCAAAATTGTCCACATGGCTGGGTGAGATAGTGAAACCTTTGCTTTCTGATGGACCAGTGTTTACAAACTGTGTTCCATGGACAACATTATCACTAATATTATCTAAAATAGTGGTTTTCAACCTGTGGGCCCTCAGATGTTTTGGCCATCAACTCCCAGAAATCTTAACAGCTAGTAAACTGGCTGAGATTTCTGGAAGTTGTAGACCAAAACACCTGGGGACCCACAGGTTGAGAACCACTGGTATAAAGGCATCTTTGGGTTTTGTGTATAAGGTGTATATGAACATACCATTAATTTTAACTTAAATCCTATCTCCAAGATATTGTATTATGCAAATACAGGTATACCAATATTTTTAAAAATCCAAAACACCATTGGTCCCTAGCATTTTGGATAAGGAATATTCAGTCAGTGTCAGTGCTGGGAAAAATGGTTCTCAGATATTTTAGAGGGAAATGGCTTGTTGAAGAAAGTAGTGCTAGACTAGCTGGATCTATTATATGATGCTGCAAATCTGTTGTTTTTTAAATAATTTCTAAAGTGAACCTTTCCCCACTGTAGCTTGAACCTGTGGCTTCTTGGCATTCTTGGTTGTCTATAAATAAGCAAACTCTTAAACAAAAGCCATTCCCAATATGCTACAAGTGCTAGCTTCTATCTTTTGTCCACAACAGCATGTTCCTTTAGCTCTCATTGGAACAACTATTTGACCTAAGGAATAAATTGTAAAAAAGTATTTTTGGAAGTAAACTGATTTGTTTCTTATTAAAATCAGAACTAACACATTTTAAAATGTCTTAATTTTAGCATTTTCTCGCTCTGCATTCACGGCAAGGAAAGATGATCCAAACAATCCTAACTGGGTGAAGGTTGGTCTGAGTCTTGGTGCCACGGCTGCAATATGGATGCTGGTAAGATTCTATTATTTGAGAACCATTTTTTTTCAGTTATTTCTGCCAATAATTTAGATATGCCAGTATCTTATTCTTGTCTCAGGTTTATGTTATCATTGATAAAGCATTGACAGTCCCACTTTCACAGCAAACTTTGCATGGCTGGAAATACATTATTGTGCTCTACTTTAAACTATTTGGGATACTTTTGCTACAAATCCAGTTGTTAGTCCCACCTAGAACAAACTCATTGGGTTAGTGGAAATTTGATGCCTCAGCATTTATCTGATTGGTTTAATAATTCTGCTCGAGTTGGGACTAACAGCTGGATTTTGACTGTAGATAATGACTCTAAATGTTTGTAGAGGCGGAAATCTGCTGACAAAGAAACTCTATTGATGCAAGTGTATTGCTTTAACTGCAATAGGCTAAGAGAATTAGTAAGCGCTAATATCAGCCACCTCTGTAAGAGTGGAATAGAAACTCTCATTCAAATATAGCCAATTTGTCAAAGTCCTTACTATTATGATTTTATGAATAAATTCATATTTAAGGTCTATAAATAATTGAATGCTTTCTAGTTAGATCCTAACAGTGAAGTCACCAAAGATGTGAGCATCCTAAAATTGCATGTTGGCCTAACATGCTGCATGCTTTTAAAATCTGTGTGTTACCATCTAGATCTTCAAACAGCATAATGAACATTTAGCAGAATATGAAAGAAGAAAAGCAGAACAGGGATCTTAATGGTTTCAAATTATTATGGTGAGTATGCAGATAAAACTATGTGCCTGGTTTTGGTCTGATATTGGTTGTTTTGCATTAAAGATCCAATTTTATGATTTTTAAAAATGAAACGTGAAGATTCATATTGCTGTCTTTTTCTTCGGGCTTTATTCACTTCCCAGTTTGTAGACTGATATAAAAATGTTACATTATTTCAAAGTTGCTTTAAAAACATGATATTAATCTGATTATGGCGTTGTTTCAAAGCCATGGGGTTTGTGAAGTTACTTTTAGGCAAGTGGGCTTATTAACAAGAGACCCTCCTCGTGTGCAGCAGAGTAATTTATCAACAGCAGCATGACCCAGCACCACTAGCCCAAAGTGATAAAATGAACAAAAACACATAGACCAATCATCTCTTCCATAGGAAGCTTTCCTTTATAGCAGAATAATATGGTTGCACTATTTACAAGAACAAGGTTTCCGTGGCACAAATAAAGTTCAACCTTTACACTGGAGCTTCACGCATGAGGCCTTCTCATACCGAGGCTTACTTCACGCAGAGGCTTCTCTCACAGACTAAGGCCTACCACACACTATGAGACCATCTCACAGACTGAGATCTTTCTCCCACTGAGGTAAACGAACACAGAGGCTTACTAAACTACAGGCACATCTCCTTAAATAGATCTGCAGCTTTTCTGAGTCATTGCATCCATTTAACCCTTTCAGTGCTTGACTCACATTTTTGTAACTAAAAATACCTAGTTAATTTTTAATATTTCTGACAGTTACTTCTTAATTGTCAGCTAACTGTCATCTTCTTCAGGTATTATGTCCACTTGCCTTGTAATTTTCTTCTATACATCGTAGCCTTCTCCACTGCCGTAGCATATTATTAACAACGACATTCAATGTGGAATGTGAATCAGTGGCTTATCATTATGAAAAACGCCTAAATGGCCCTTGATTCATATGTGATCAGTGGGCTCAAAGACACCCTCCCCCTTCAACATAACCACCAGAAAGAAACAGGAAAGTTTTGCTTCTGCTTTATACTAATCACAGCTTAGCAGTATACTGGAAACAAGGCAACCTGTGCCTAATGTTATATATATTTATTAGCTTATTGGAATGATTCATTATTTCATCAAAGCCCTGGGTTCAAATATAATGCTAAATCTTGATTAATTGATAATGGAAGCAGAAATTTCCAGTAGTCCTCTCTTCCCAGCTGCACTAGAGGATGAAAGGCGAAGTCAAGATGTGTTCTCATAAAGATATAACATTGTTTATCATTGTAAGCAAAATGGCCTATATGTTTTATTTCCCATTGGATTTCAAAGTTGTTTCCTTTTATTTTTGATAATGGAATGGGAGGTGAAGAAGTACATTTAAATGTTAAAGTGACTTTCTTGTTTTATTTTTCAGCATTAGCAGATGTTCAGATATATTACGATTTAAGAGCATTCCACATCCCTGGCCTTGTCTTCTGTTAGCACATTTTGTGTTCCTAGGTTAAAATTTGCAAGGGCAAGACTCAGGACATCCCTTGACAGTCAGAGCCTCAGCTTTGGCAATTGGAAACATTTAATTCATGGTAGTGTTTGGATGCTGTGAATCCCCAGACACAATGTTATTTGAACTAAATATTGCTTATTTGACACTGACACAACACCGCTTCTGTGCAATATGCTGATATAGCACTTTGGACAAAAGAAAGGCACGAAGCCCCATTAATCACTCAGCTGAATTTCTAAAGCAGATGCACCACTCCTGGGAATATATCTGTTCATTGTTTGCCTATTAATTGTTTCTGTTTTTTACTTGGAACCTTTATAAACCATTATATGCATTTGGCTTTGAAATTGTCAAATATTGATCAATTAAAAGACAAATGGCAAACATATAAACATGACAGATTATCCCTTTCACCCGGTTTTCGATATGTGCATCTACACTGTAGAATTAATGTGGCTTGACATCACTTTACTGGCTATGACTCAACATTGTGGAAACCTGGGAGTTGTGGTTTTATAGCATCTTTAGTCTTGTTTGTCAACAAGTCCTTGTGCCTCACTAAACTTCAAATCTCAGGATACTATAGTACTGAGCCATGGGAGTTAAGTTTGTGTCAAACTGCATTAATTCTGAAGTGTAAATGTACTCTATAACAAAGACTATGTATACAAATAGGTTTCAAGTATAATTGCCATTAAAACCGTTCTGTGATTTTCCAGATAGCGAAATTTGGTAAGATTTTTTTGTAAGACACATAATTCTTACTCTTACTCAATTCTAAGATAAGTTTTGATATTTCTCTTATATTCTTTTTTCCAGGTTTAAGCTGTTTTCCATGTGAATCATCACATTTACATTAATAATTTAAACAGAATATCTGCTGGATCCATTCCTAATCAATACTAAGCTTCTTGAAATAAAGCAATAGCAAGTATAGAAGCTGATGAAATGTATGGACATGTCTGAAAATTACAAATAAAATATGTTAAGTTAAATATTTGTTTAATGCGTTCTTCCTGTTTTTGCATAGAAAATTGACCAGAATACTCTTACCATTTTCTCTCTCCCAAGTAAGTCCCAGTGAGTTCAGGAAGATTATTCCTGACAAGTGTCTGGAAATAACTTGGCAAACGTTTGTTTAAGGAAGTAGTTCTTACTATTTGCATTGTTCTCCTTTTGTTTTTACTGTCGTCCAAACAGTTGGTTATTTAATAACAAGATTGATGCTGATGTTGTTTCTGTGGCAGCCATAGTTTAATTTAAATCTCTGTGAGAAAATAGTGCTACTGATATTTTGTAATACAGTGTGGCAATGTTTACATGGCTACAATTGAGAGAGTTGACAGTTTGTTATCCCTAAATTATGTAATCATTAATTTTTTTCAGTTATTCGAAAGTAAAGTCATATCAAGTCATATCTTGTCATAGCATTATTCATCTCTATACTCTATTCAGCTTCAGTATAGTTTGTTACTCTTCTTTCCAAGCTGGGGGAAATGATTGATTCATACTATTATTTATTATTATTTCGTATACTTCTACCCCGCCCTTCTCAACCCCCGAGGGGGGACTCAGGGTGGCTCACAAAATGGCACAATTCGATGCCTACACAATAATACAATAAACGTATAAAAACAGCAATTAAACGGTTAAACAATTAAAACAACAATATATATCACAATCAATAGCCAATCTCAAGCACAGCGTTCGCCAACTCAGAGTCCATACTTCGTTCCACATTGTCTATTCCTATCCGTCGTCGCAGTCCTTTATTTATCTGCCAGATTGCCCAAACGCCTGGTCCCACATCCATGTTTTTAATTTCTTTCTAAAGGAAAGGAGGGATGTTGCTGATCTAATTTCCCCTGGGAGTGAATTCCATAGGTGAGGGGGCCACCACTGAGAAGGCCCTTCTCCTCGTCCCCACCAATCTCACTTGTGACAGAGGCGGGGCTGAGAGCAGGGCCTCCCCAGAGGATCTCAAACTCCGAGGTGGGACGTAGAGGGAGATGCTCTTAGATATTACATAAAAACTAACATTATGCAATTTTAAAGAAAATTGGTACAGCTTTATTTAACAACATTTACTAATGTAATCAAGCATTTGTTTGGGTTGCTGTGAGTGTTCCGGGCAGTATGGCCATGTTCCAGAAGCACTCTCTCCTGACGTTTCACCCACATCTATGGCAGGTATCCTCAGAGGTTGTTGTGAGGTCTGTTGGAAACTAGGCAAGTGGGGTTTATATATCTATGAAATGTCCAGGGTGGGAGAAATAACTCTTGTATGTTTGAGGCAAGTGTGACTGTTGCAATTGGCCAGCTTAATTAGCATTGAATAGCTTTGCATTTTCAAAGCCTGTCTGTTTCCTGCCTGGAGGAATCCTTTGTTAGAAGATATTACCTAGCCCTGATTTTTCCTGTCTAAAATTCCCCTGTTTTCTGAATGTTGTTCTTTATTTACTGTTCTGATTTTAGAGTTTTTTAATACTGGTAGCCAGATTTTGTTCATTTTCATGGTTGGACACGAAAAATAGTAAAATAGTATTAAACTATCTATAATTATGAAATACTTCAAAATTGCCTATATGGCAGGCTGAGATATTAATACCTTTGGTTTGTGCTAGTTCAATATACACAAACTTAGTTTCATGCACAAAATTATTAAAAAATATTGCACACAGTCCCCAAGTTACAAACATCTGGCTTACAAATGACTCATAGTTAAGAATGGGGGTGAAAGAACAGGAAGTGAAGTCTACAGATAGCAAAACAAACATCTCGGAGTGGTAACCCTTCACTATGCTATCCAAAGCTAAACAATATATATTTTTGGCTAGAGCTACCCTTTGAAAATGCACCTGTTCCGACATACATACAAACCCATTTTAAGAACAGACTTACAGAACCTATCTTGTTCGTAACTTGGGGACTGCCTGTATATGATTATCTTCAGACTGTGTGTATAAGGTTATATGAAACATAAATGAAATTCATGTTTAGACTGGCTCCATCTCCAAGGTACCTTATTATGTATATGCAAAACAGATATTCTATTGTCGTAAACAAAATCAAAATGCAAAATATTTCTGGTCCCACCCATTTCAGATAAGGGATACTCTGTATCATTATAATTAAAACCATTTAAATCATACAGTAAAAATAGGAGAGCACTCTTACATGGATATGGTCAGTTTTCGAATGCTTGATGGAATCAAAAGGTCTTGCTGATGTAAAGGTAGGAAGGAAGGAGCCAACCCATCCTCTCTAAAAGGCGTTCCAGAGTCTGGAAGCAACCACAGAGATGCTTTCGTGCAATCTTACAAAATGCAGCTGTGAAGATTGAATGATCAAGAGAAAATGTCTTAAAGTTCCAGATATGAAGCTTCTTTGTGTTCTATGGTGTGATAAAATTGATGTAAGAAACATATTAAAGTTAGCTGTTTCCAGCAGAATAGGGTGGGGGAAGGGAGAATGTAGACAGCACAGGATGAAATCTCACTTACACTCGAATCCATCTCATGTCCCTCAGCCAATGGCTGAAAGATGCCTGAAAAGGGAAGGGTGAGTAGGATGCAGTGGTAGTTCCAGTGGCAGGGCTGGTGGTGGGAAACCAGTTTCTCCAGGATCTAGTTCAAAAGGTGAGCAACTTCCAGAGAGGGTTCAGACTCTCCAGGAGATTTCAGAGGTTGCTCCTCCTTATGTGCTGCCCATTTATACTGCCATTTGTGCCCACTGCTGAGTTGATAATTTTGCACTATTTCTAACTTTGGGAGGGGCATGGGAGACTTTTTCCCCAAAATCAGAAGGACTGAATCATTTCCAATTTTGGCCCACACCAAAACTAAATCAGATCAGGGGAGATGGGGCGAATTGGGTCAGTATATCTCTGACCGGAAGGTAAGCGGTTCAAATCCACAGAATGGGTTGAGCTCACATTGTTAGCCCCAGCTTCTGCCAACCTAGCAGATTGAAAATATGCAAATGTCAGTAGATCAATAGGCACTACTTCAGCAGGAAGGCAATGGCGCTCCATGCAGTCATGCCAGCACATGATCTAGGACAGTGGTTCTCAACCTTCCTAACACCGCGACTCCTTAATACAGTTTTTAGTGTTGTGGTGACCCCCAACCCTAAAAATATTTTCGTTGGTACTTCATAACTGGAATTTTGCTACTGTTATGAATCGTCATGTAAATATCCGATAGGCAGGATGTATTTTCATTCTCTGGACCTTGGGAGTTGTAGTTGCTGGGATTTATAGTTCACCTACAATCAAATTCTGAACTCCACCAGAGATGGAATTGACTCAAACTTGGCACACAGAATGCCCATGACCAGCAAAACATAATGAAAGGGTTAGGTGAGCATTGGCTTTGAGTTTGGGAGTTGTAGTTCACCTATCTCCAGAAAGCACTGTGGACTCCAACATTGATAGATCTGGACTAAACTTGGCATGAATACTCAATATGCCCAAATGTGATCACTGTTGGGAGTTTGGGGGAAATAGAATCTTGACATTTGGGAGTTGTAATTGCTGGGATTTATAGTTCACCTACAATCAGAGAGCATTCTGAACCCCACCAACTAGAATTGGGCCAGACTTCCCACACAGAACTCCCATGACCAGCAGAAAATACTGTGTATCCTGATGGTCTTTGGCGACCCCTCCAACACTCCGTCGCGACCCCTCCAGGGGTCCCGACCCCCAGGTTGAGAAACACTGATCTAGGAGGTGTCTACAGACAACACCAGCCCTTAGGCTTAGAAATGGAAATGAGAACTACCCCTCAGAGTCAGATTCAACTAGACTTAGTGTTAAGGGGAAACCTTTACCTTTATGTCCCTCTAGGGGGGTTGACTGGTAGCTTGGTGTAGTGCAGTGTTTCTCAACCTGGGGGGGGGGGGGGTCGCAAGGAAGTATCAGAGGGGTCACCAAAGCTCATCAGGAAACAACAGTATTTTCTGTAGGTCATGGGGATTATGTGTGGGAAGTTTGGCTGCCTGACACTATTTTAACTGTCATGGCTCAATGCTATGGAATCATGGGAGCTGTGGTTTCATAAGGTCTTTAGCTTTTGCCAATTGGGAATGCTGCGCCTCACCAAACTACAACTCTCAGGATTCCAGAGCATTAAGCCATGGCAGTTAAAGTGGTTTCAAACTGTATTAATTCTACACCTTAGGCTTAAATCCTTGCTTGGCCATGGAAACCCACTGGGTAACCTTGGGCTGGTCATGTTGTCTCAGTCTTAGAGGAAGGCAATGACAAGCACCCTCTGAATACAACTTGCCAAGAAAGCCTAGTGATAAGATCACCATGAGTAAGAAATTACTTGAAGGCAAACAACAGCAAGGCTTGTTTGGCTGTTTTGGGGCAAAATTTGAAGAGGGGACGCTTTTTATTTTGTGTTCCAGATTGTAGTCCATAATCCATAAATGCTATTATTATGTTTATTTTTATGTACCTGTACATATTTGTATTTAGTCTGGTACTAAAGTTCTTACATTGCAATGAAACATTGTTGGAAGCATGCAGCCTGGAAGACTGGCAAATAAGTATGTACAAAAGCAGTAAGTATGGAAACCAAGACTCGCCACTTTGATATGTTTATAATCCACTATGTTTTATTCCTTTCATGCATGTTAATTTGTTTATTTGTTTCAACTATTTATAGTTTGACATGGCTTGTTTTATTGTTTTATGATGTGGCATTGAATTTTTTCCGCCGTTTGTAAGCCACTTTGAGTCTCCTGCGGGGTGAGAAAAGTGGGGTATAAATAAAGTTAATAACAATAATAAAGGTAAAGGTTTTTCCTTGACTTTGAGTCGAGTTGTGCCTGATTCTGGGGTGTGGTGCTCATCTCCATTTCTAAACCGAAGAGCCAGCGTTGTCCGTAGACACCTCCAAGGTCATGTGACCGGCATGACTGCATATTCATGAAAAATTAAGTAGCGCATACCGCGTTAAGTGTCTGTGCTAGATCTGTCAGAATTTTGGCTCTGCAGAATTAGTCTACAGTTCCAACAATCCCTTACCATTGGAAATATTGGGTGGGGTTTTTGGAGAGGAAATCCAAAGTCTTCCCTGGAACTGGCCTATTTTGATTTATGGGATTTCAAGGTTTTCACTGAGATGTATTTTAAAACAATACAACTTCTTAAAAACTGAATTGGAGAACTTTTTTCCTGCCATATATGCTTTAAAAAAAAACAGGAGATAAATAAAAAATACTAGAGGGCATGTTAGGGAATACTGGTTGTGGTGTATTTTATTAAAAGGTGATAGAGAAGACAAATTATGATTGGGGTTACCTTGCTTGTAATTTGCTGCTGTAGCCTAAACACAAGAATTATTCAATCTGTAAATTTGTAATTTCAAGATGGAAAGTGCTTTGGGACAGACTCATTTACCTAATGAAACCTGACATTTAAATCTGACTTTAGAGCCCAGAGACCTGTATCTAAGCAGTGTTATCATTAACTGAACAGAACTGGCTGTTGACTCAGTTCCCTGGGGCAGAAATATTTTTCAGAGCCGGATCAGAAAGTTACGCCACACAAACAATATTGCAAGAAGCCCTAGGCTGGGTTGCTTATCTTGCACAACAACATGTCTTCTTGTAATCCTATAAAGCAAGGAACATTGTTTGATTTGAACAATTTATTTTAAGAGTTCTATGTTTAATTCTATTTTAGTGTTTATATGCTGTGGGTTTTCAATGGTAAATTGTTTTGTTTGTTAGCATTGTAGTCACGTTGAGTCTACAATAAGAGAGGAAAGTGGGATATGCTGGATTGAAACATATCATAAAGAAATATTGACACTAATGACCAGCCACTGAGAGAAGGGACAGAGTGTTTCATCTATGCTGATGATCGTGCCATCACTGCTCAAGCAGGGAGCTTTGAAATAGTTGAACAGAAGCTCTTTGAAGCTCTAGGTGCTCTTACTGACTATTACAGAGAAAACAAGCAGATTCCTAATCCATCTAAAATGCAGATGTGTGCCTTTCATCTTAAGAATAGACAAGTAATTTGAGCTCTGAGAATTACCTGGGAAGGAATCCCACTGGAGCATTGCAGCACACCCTAACATCTGGGAGATACTCTGGATTGTGCTCTGAGTTACAAGAAGCACTGTTTTAATATCAAGCAAAAAGTGGGTGCTAGAAATAATATTGTATGAAAGCTGACTGGCACAACCTGGGGATTGCAACCAAACACAGTGAAGACACTTGCTCCTGCGCTTTGCTACTCTGCTACTGAATATGCATGCTCAGTGTAGAATACATCTCACCATGTTAAAACGGTGGATATGGCTCTTAATGAGATATGCCACATTATTACAGCATGTCTATGTCCTACACTGCTTGAGAAATTACACTGTTTAGCTGGTATTGCACCACTTGACATCCATCAGGAAGTAGCAGCCAGTAATGAAAGGAGCAAGGCATTGACATATCCGGCCCATCTTCTGTTCAGATATGAGTCAGCAAGCCAACACCTTAAATCAAGAAATAACTTCCTAAGATCTACAGAGACACCCACAGGAACACCTCAGCAAGTGAGAGTCCAAAAGTGGCAGGCTAAAACCCAGAACCTCAATCAGTGGCTGATAACAGATGAGAGATTCCCTCCTGGGCACATAGAAGACTGGACGACTTTGAAGGTACTGAACAGACTGTGCTCTGGCACGAAGAGATGTAGAGCCAATCTTAACAAATGGGGCTACAAAGTGGAGTCCATGACATGTGAGTGTGGAGAAGAGCAAACCACAGACCACCTATTACAATGCAACCTGAGCCCTGCCACATGCACAATAGAGGACCTCCTTACAGCAACACTGGAGGTACTCCAAGTGGCCAGCTTCTGGTCAAAAGAAATCTAGCACAATGCCAAGTTTTTTTTTAATTTAGTGACTTTTTAAACACATTATAACTGTACCATTTCTGAGATGATAAGTAAATAAAAGTCCTTCACAAAAATGGCAGTATTTAACTAAAGCTTTGAAATGTTACCTTTTTTGGATTATTATCTCCCAGAATCCCCCACTCACAGGTTTGCTAGATAGGGAATGGTGGGTGTTGAGGTCCAACAAGCCTATTTTTAAAAGTTCTACTCTACTTTTGTGAATGCCAAAGAAAGCTGCTTGAACCCAGAAGAAAGATTTCCTGGTACCTGGGTTGTATTGAAATGAATGTCTGTCAGTTCACAACTCTTTTATTGAGAACACAGTACATATGCAGCTAGCTATATGTGAAAACTAAGTCTGGGTGCACCTGCACGGTAGAATTAATACAATCTGGTGCTACTTTAACTGCCATGACTCAATGCAATCCTCAGCCAAAGAGGGCCTTAGGTAAAGGTTTCCCCTTGACATTAAGTCCAGTTGTGTCCGACCCTGGGGTGGTGGTGCTCATCTCCATTTCTAAGCTGAAGAGTTGACGTCTGTAGATGCCTCCAAGGTCATGTGGCCAGCATGACTGCCTGGAGCGCCGTTACCTTCCCGCTGAAGCGGTACTTATTGATCTACTCACATTTGCATGTTTTTGAACTGCTAAGCTGACAGAAGCTGGGGCTAACAGCGGACAATGTGCCCAGTCCAGCTGAGTTGATGGCATAGGAGCATTGCTTCAATGCTGGTGGTCTTTGCTTCTTCCAGCATGGTGACATTTGTTCACCTGCCTTCCCAAGAGATTTGCAGGATTTTTAAGAGGCAGCACTGATGGAATTGTTCCATGAGTTGTATGTGACATCTGTAGACAGTCCATGTTTTGCAGGCATTTAGCAGGGTTGGGAGGACTATTATTTTTTCTCGCATTTCTATCCCGTCCTTCTCAACCCCTGAAGGGGGACTCAGGACGACTTACAATGGACTCCGTTACGAAGCTATTACATAACAAATTACAGTAATTAAAACAACATAAAAACATAATTAACAATACATAAGCCATCATTAAAACAGTAAAACGGTGGCTTCATAAACAAGCACCTTGGTATCCCTATGGATGCCCTGGTCCTCAAACACTCTGTGCTTCATTCGGGAAAATGCTGCACTCGCAGAGCTCAGGCGGTGTTGTATTTCAGTGTCAATGTTGACTTTTGTGGAGAGGTGGCTGCCAAGGGAGCTGAAATGGTCAACATTTTCTAATGTTACACCATTCAGCTGTATTTCTGGCATTGGAGAGGGATTGGCTGGTGACTGCTGGAACAGCACTTTGGGTTTTTTGATGTTCAATGCAAGACCGAGTTTCTCGTATGCTTCTGCAAAGGTGTGGCTTGTAGGTCTTCCTCTGTAGGCGCACATACTACGTTATCATCAGCATATTGGAGTTGTATAACAGATCTTGTTGTGGCCTTGGTTGTGGCTTCCTGTCTGCTGAGGTTAAATAGCTTGCCATTAGGCCTGGGCAATGCATGGTTCAAAATGGTTCTAAAGTACCTACAAAACTAAAGTTCTGGTGGTGAAAATATCAAAATTCTAACAAAACTCTCAACATTTCATTATAAATGGCAGTTCCTAATTGGTTCTGTCATAAAACCCGCAATAATGAAATAATAATTAAATTTTGAAAGTTTTGTTAGAATTCTGGAATTTTCACCACCAGAACTTTAGTTTTGTAAGTACTTTAGAACCATTTAGAACCACGCATTGCCCAGGCCTACCTGCCAATAAATGAGTTCCACTCCGGCTGTTAGGAATAGTGGAAGTTGAGGTCCAAAACACCTGGTGGGAGGGCTGAAGTTTGCCCAGTCCTGGTGTAAATGTGCTATACAGGAGACCAATGGCCCTGGGGCCAGGAGACTGGACGCAGCCAAAGAGGAGCTGCCTCTCCCTCCCTCCCTCCTCCCTCCACGATTGGTGGAGTCGCGTTGTGTGCCCGCCCCTTTCTCCCCACTCGGGCAAAAGCAGGCGGGGCGAGCTGTCAGTCTCTTCGCCTGGGCTGTCAGGAGCCGAGCCTTGCGCCAGTCGCTGACCCTCCGCCATTCGCCCTCTTCCTCCCGGCCATGTATCTCTGCAGGGTGGCCTGGCAGAGCCTCGCCTCTCGCCTCACGCGAGCCGCTCCTCTCCTCCGTGGGCACGGTGAGTCAGCTGGGGAACTGGGGAAGGGGAATGCGTGCGTGTGCTTGTGTGGAAGGAAGGGAGGTGTGTTAATGATTGGCCGCCGCTCTGCAGGAACAAGGTGCAAAGCCCACCCGCGATGCCACGAGGGCTAAGGCTGCGGCGCCGCCCGCCCAGGAAAGGAGAGCTGAAGGTCACCCCGCGATTTGCATTGGCCCAGCCAGGGAAGCAGCGAGGAATTGGCACGCTTGGCTTGCTCTGGAATCCAGGGAGTCTGGTCCACTCTTGGGCAAAAGAGGAGAAAGACCTCTTTCGAATTACAGCTCCCATGATTCCATAGCTGTAATTAATACTCTCGCACTGCATTAATTCCACACTCTCCCTTATCTACACTGTAGAATTGATGCAGCTCGACCCACACCACTTGAACTGCCCTGGATCCATGCTATGGACTCATGGGAGCTGTAGTTTGGTGAGGCACCAGCACTCCTTGGCAGAGATGGCTAAAGAGCTTGTAATAATAATAAAAATAATAAACAATTATTATTTGATACACAAATAATAATAATATTGTTTTATTATATTATTATTAATATTAATAATTAATATTAACTACATTAATTTATTATTATTATTAGTAATAATTGTGTATCATTATATTATTAATATTAATAAATAATATTAAACATCTTAATATATTAATATAGTAGTACAGTGTTTCTCAACCTGGGGGTCATGAGAGGGGTGTCAGAGGGGTCACCAAAGACCATCAAAAAACACAGGATTTTCTGTTGGTCATAGGGGTGGAGGAAGTTTATCCCAATTCTATCATTGGTGGGGTTCAGAATGCTCTTTGATTGTAGGTGAACTATAAATCTGAGCAACTGCAACATCCAAATGTCAAGATCTATTTTCCCCAAACTCCATCAGTGTTCATATTTGGGCATATTGAGTATTTGTGCCACATTTGGTCTAGATCCATCATTGTTTGAGTCCACAGTGCTCTCTGGATGTAGGTGAACTACAACTCCAAAACTCAAGGTCAATGCCCACCAAAACCATCCTGTATTTTCTGTTGGTCATGGGGATCCTGTGTGGGAAGTTTGGTTCAATTCCATCATTGGTGGAGTTCAGAATGCTCTTTGATTGTAGGTGAACTATAAATCCCAGCAACTACCGCTCCTAAATGACAAAATCAATCCCTCCCCACAACCCCACCAGTATTCAAATTTGGGCGTATTGGGTATTTGTGCCAATTTGGTCCAGTGAATGAAAATGCATCCTGCATCTCAAATATTTACATTATGATCCACAACAGTAGCAAAATTACAGTTATGAAGTAGCATCAAAAATAATTTTATAGCTGGGGGTCACCACAATATGAGGAACTGTATTAAGGGGTCACAGCATTAGGAAGGTTGAGAACCAATGTAGTAGTAGTAGTACTAGTGTACAGCAAACAAGATCACTATGCAGACTTTTATATTTGGGCACACATAGGGCACTTCCCAAGTGTCTAGGACTGTCTAATGCAGGGGTCCTCAAACTAAGGCCCGGAGGGCGGATACGGCCCTCCAAGGTCATTTACCTGGCCCTTGCTCAGGGTCAGCCTAAGTCTGAAACGACTTGAAAGTACACAACAACAACAACAACAACAACAACAACAATCCTATCTCATGAGCCAAAAGCAGGCCCACACTTCCCATTGAAATACTAATAAGTTTATATTTGTTAAAATTGTTCTTCATTTTAATTGTTTTAAAGTGTTTTTTGCACTACAAATAAGATATGTGCAGTGTGCTTAGGAATTCATTCATGTTTTTTTCAAATTATAATCTGGCCCTCCAACTGTTTGAGTGATTGTAACCTGGCCCTCTGTTTAAAAAGTCTGAGGGCCCCTGGTCTAATGTATCTCTGAATAATGCGTGAAGATCCAAGTAGGGTGGCCTTTTGCAGCTGACAGATGGTAATTTTGGCAGTGCCAATTGTTTTTAAGTGTAGGTCAAGGTCTTTAGGCACTGCACCCAATATGCCAATCACCACTAGGACCATCTTTACTGGCTTGTACCAGAGTCTTTGCAGTTCGATGATGATGACGAAAGCTCTTATTAAACCACGACCCCCATTATTCCATAGCATTCGAACCATTTAATTCTACAGTGTGAATGCATCCTCTGCATGCGGCATTTTCCCCCTTCTTCCTGGGATTCTTCCAACAGTGGAGAAAGGGGTTGGGACTGCTTACTGGAGGGTGAAAAATAAGAATAATCATTACCCATGCCAAAGCAATTAAGGCAAATATGCACGAGTTAGCAACTGACACAAAGGGTGCACTTACACTGCAAAATTAATGCATTTTGACACTACTGTAACCACCCTGGCTCACAGCTATGTATTCATGGGAGTTGTAATTTTATTCTTATTCTTCTTATATTTATTTATTTATTGCTTTATCTTCTCCAAAGGGGACTCAAAGCGGCTTCAAATAAAAGCATCATCATAACAATTTTAAATATGCAAAAATACAAACATTAAAACAGAATTAAATATAGTAAAGGTAAAGGTTTGCCCTTGACGTTAAGTCTAGTCGTGTACAACTCTGGGGGGTGGTGCTCATCTCCATTTCTTAGCCAAAGAGCTGGCGTTGTCCGTAGACGGCTCCAAGTTAATGTGGTCGGCCTGACTGCATGGAGTGCCGTTACTTTCCTGCCAAAGCAGTACCTATTGATCTACTCACATTTACATGTTTTGGAACTGCTAGGTTGGCAGAAGCTGAGGCTAACACTGAGAGCGTACCCTTTTCTAATTTTCTGGGCTTATAAAGAGCAGAAGGGGTATAGGGCAGGGAATTAAAACAAACATAGAAAGTGCATGCATTGCACAGTAGTAGTAGTAGTAGTAGTAGTAGTAGTAGCAGTAATATATTTATGTATATCCTACTTTTCTCCCTAAACAGGACCCAAAGTGGCTCATAACATTTAAAAAAACCAATACAGATCCATCATACATATATCAGTAATCTATAAAACCATATATTCAATAAATACTAAATAAACATAAATTGAACAATTTTTCAAATACAAATACAATTGTTTGTGGGAAACTCATCAATACAGTTGTGGCAGTTGCATGCATTAATTTTGTGACCCCATCAGGCACAGTGCTGGGATTGAACTTGGAATTCTCTCCTACAGACCCATATTGTTAGTGTACAGATAATTCCAAATCACATCAAGCCACAGAACCCAAGACTTTGTGGGATGGAAACAAATGTTATCACACAGCCATAACCATCTAGTATGGATAAATACATTTAATACCCGGCCAAAAGAAACTTTGTAATTCAGTGCTTATCTTCATGTGAATGCAAGGTAACTGCCCTGTGAATGGAGGTGCCATGTTTAATCTTCTGGTGTTTGAAGCTAGGTCGCAAAGGAGAAAATAGCAGAAAGTTTGGGCAATTCACATTAGTCAATCTAGAAAATTTTAAAATTCCTAACTACTTAATAGCACACATTTATACACACACAAAACTCCCCCATCCTACTTCTGCCAATCTAATTGGATTGTGAAGAAGTCAGTTGGGATAACCAGGAATAGATTTGTGTTGTGCACACACTGTCCTTCAGTCAGATCTTGTGTTGTAAACACATTTCTGGACTTAAAATACTCTATTTCTAAGAGGATGCAGCGGCAGCCTATTCATTTCCGTGTGTGTGTGTATCGTATCAGGAGCGACTTGAGAAACTGGAAGTTGCTTCTGGTGTGAGAGAATTGACCATCTGCAAGAACGTTGTTTAGGGGACACCCGGATGTTTGATGTTTTACTATCCTTGTGGGAGGCTTTTCCATGTCTCCACATGGGGAGCTGGAGTTGACAGAGGGAGCTCATCCATACTCTTACTCCATTCAAACCTCTGATCTGTCTGTCTTCAGTCCTGCTGGCACGGTGGTTTAACCCATTGTGCCACTGGGGGCTCCATATATATATGTGTGTGTATGTGTATATATATAGATGTGTGTGTGTATGAAGGAGATACCACTTTGACTAGGTAAGGAAAATACCCCCCTTTCACATGCGAAACATTCCTCAAATGTGGAGGTTGCAGTTTCTCAAACTATTTTTAAAAAGATATAGCAATGTTGTGAAGCTTAAAAATACAAGCTGTACATATTTAACAAAGCAGCATAGAAACCAGGGAGGCGTATCTTGTCGTGTTCACAGTGATAACATACAATATTAGCCACTGCATGTGTATTTCACATATCTGCATGGCTGTGCATTTCCCTGGTGATTTGATGCTTGGATTCTTGCATTTTTGAAACACCATCCTGCAGTTCTTTAAATTATTTAAGATGTTTGTTTAGTCTCTGAAAATGAGGACATGGAAATGCTGTGAGCAAAAGGGCACATTTATTACTGTCTCAGGAACTGTGTCCTGAGACTTGTCTATCCAGCATTATTGAAAAGAGGATTTATAGAGGAGTCAAGCATTTTCTAGGGGGTGAGAAAAAGGAGAAAATATTTCTACATTTTTAAAAATGTGCATTTTAGTATATCCCTTTAAAAATAGCTTTGCTTGAAATCTGCCAGACGAGTGAAGTCTGCAATTACCATCTGTTATAGCTGAATCTATCTTAAATAGTCACTGTTCATAAATACTGAACTAATTCTCTAAGGCCCTTTTTACACTGCCATATAATCAAGTTTATCAAAGCAAATAATCCACATTATCTGTTTTGAACTGGATTATATGAGTCTACACTACCATATAATCCAGTTCAAAGCAGATAATCTGGATTTTATTTGGCAGTGTAGAAGGGGCCTAAGTATAGGTCTGAACAAAACAAGGGTTGTCAATGTGCATCAGGGAGATAACAGCAGGATTAATATTGTACAACATTTGCAGAATTGGTAACTTCCCCGCCAACCATCTAAGGAAGAAACAATTTGACCTAAATGGTTTCTTCCTCAGCTAGTCCCAATTGGAACAGCTCTAGTGAATCAATTATATTTTACA